AAGTTATGAAGTCAGCTGAGAAGTGTTTGGGTCAGACATTGAAGTTTGTGTGTGTGTGTGTGTGGGGGGGGGGGGGTGTGTTGGGACACTTTACAGAATCGAAGCTGCTATATTCACTGCTCTCTAAAAAGTAATTTCAATTCAAACTTTATTAATACAGGTTGTTAGTCTCATTGAGCCTCATCATTTACAAGAGAGACCTGTTTGTAATCAGTTTAATCAAAAGTTTATAGATGTTTTGCAACCTGTTAAAATACAGCAAAATGCAGGTAATGATCACTCACCACTTGCTCTCGTCGAGATTGGATGCTTCTTCCCTCCCTCTCCGCTTTGCTTTGCTGCTCTGTCTGTCTGTGAAACTGCTCGGAGCCTCTCTTGCATATTTCCCGAATCATAATTATAGACTTGTTTTGATCAGTTGGTCCCTCAACTCAATTTACAACATTTCTTCGAAGAGAAGACTGGCTTTAGGCGAGCCGATTTGCCCTGTTGGCACGCAAGCAGCTGGATATCTCATCGACTGGAAGACTTGATGATGTGTCTATCTCTGCTGCCATCTGTGGATTTTAATGACACATATGTAATTGGATTTTCGATAACTGGTTCTTGCTTTTTGGATTCGGCTGGTTGCTGGTTTTATCAATCGATCAAGGAAGTCGTCGGCAGCAAACCCGATCACGCTGCTTGCCTTTATGATGGCTTGGTTCGTGCCTCGAGTACCCAGACTCAAATGCTTTGGGCTGAATGGATCAGACCTTGAGGATTTTACTCAGTCACGTTCCATCAGTGTGGCCATGTATTTTTGACATTTTGGAACCGAGTGGACCAACACAGACTCAAGGAGATGTTATTAAAGTTCCTGTCCCCAAAACAACTGTGTGTTTATCTGAATTTGGCTCCCTTGGCTGGTCTTGAAGGTCATCTTATCTGAATTCGCCTGGAGAACATGTGATCTGACGCTCACCACCCTCTCCCTGAGGAATTTCTAACTAATAACCAGATGAAACCAGCTGAATAAACTTTGTGTCATCATTTCAGGACTCTTGGATTCTCACAGATGTTATTCTTGGCCATTCCTCGACATCCCTCAAGAATGTTTATGGATCTCACCGGAGGACATTGGCTGATTATTCCATCCTTATCAGAACTCTTACAGTGACCTCGAGAGCATCTATGAACATTGCTGACCGCTCTCGTCTCCCCAGTCTGCAGAATGTCTACGTCACTATGTGCTTGTTTGTGTGAGGTGTTTTTTTTTATATTAAGAGGGGTTTTTTTTCTCAGGAAGGAAAAAAAAAAGTCTGATAGGATTTTTTTTGGCCTCCAACTCCTACATGTGTCCAGTTAACTGCTGTTTTTTGTTTGTCCAAACAGGTCTCACTTGTAAATGAGTCTTTGAGGCTCAATGTGATTTATCTGGTTAAATAAAAGTTGAATGAATGAATGAATGAATGAATGAATAATGGCATCTCTTTTATTCCAAATTTTCTAGGGGAGGACCCACAGACACCCCCCCCCCGTCCCCACACTGCACCACACCCCTCTCTCTCTCACCTAGGAACAATCCAGAGTCACCAATCAGTCTAGCATGTATATATTTTGATACGTGGGAGGAAACTGGAGAACCTGGAAAAAAAAAAACATGTATGCACAGAGAGAAAATATAAACTCCACCCAGAAAGGCCCCTGGCCGGGATTTGAACTGGGGTGACCTGCTTGTTGAGAGGCGACACCGTGCTGCCAGTGCTGAGGCTCCGATTCATGAAAAAAACAAGTCAGATTTTACTGGCCCATTTAAGAGTGTCACAATTTATTCAATATTTATTTCAAATGTCGGTGAATATAAGATTTGAGAACTGAGCTTCCTTACAAATTCGTAATGATGGTTTCTTTATTTTTCAGTGGTGCTGAGTTAAAATTTAAATTGAAAAAAGAGGCAACAATCACTATTGCCTAACACCATTCAGTAAGTGACAAACATGTTTAAGAACACACTTCATGTAAAAATATATTTCTTCATTATTATTGTGTTTTAACCTTATAGAGATTTGTTTTTTAGTCCCAAAAACTGCTTCACAAAAACGTAAATTTAATAAAGTCTAAATTGTTGGAAATAAAATTGTGTCGAGTTATTTAGAATAAATTAAACCTGTTAATTTCTAACCTTCTAAACGAACGTCGGGTGTTTAATTCAGATGTTTTCAGAGTTTTCTAACTAAATTGAATAAATCAGTTTGGCTTAGTTCGAAAACCTAAAAAAAAGTTTAATATAACGAGCAGTTTTATTCAAAATCTTTACATATGTACAAAGGTTTTCCAGTATGTGCCCAACATCATCTTTTACATTTCAGTTTTACAACAGTATATCTTTTTGGCTTACACACGAGGGAGGGACTGTTGACTGAACACGCTGAAATACTTTAAAAAATATTTACAACAAAACAAAAATAAACAAGATGAATGCTATCCAACGTTAGAACGTTCACCGAAGGCGAGAATAAAAACCGCACCTCTCATTTGTACGTCAAGAGTAAACTTACATATTTTTACACATTATTTTAAGTCTAAAGGAGGAAAACAAGAAGAAAGTGACAAACGTTTGGCCCACTAATCACTAATAACAAAGTGCTTATTACTTTGGCATTACATAAAATGATTTAGCTTTTTAAATGTTTTTTTACAGCAAATCATTTAAAATGCTGATGTTGGGAGATTTTTGTCACCATGAGAACAACAAATATAACAAATATTCTTTTTTTTTTTTAATCCAGAAAGACCAGTCAACGCAAACCAGTGGAATTGGATCACAGTAGTTTTAGTAAATCTACAGCAGTTTTTCACCAAAATGTGCTTTAAATATATAAATTAACTTAAGTAGACTTAATAAATTCTATGTTCTTATTTACTTTTATGAAACCAGACAAATACAATAGTGTAATTTTTTAAATTATTTAAAACACACTAACTGAATGGTGCAAAAAGCTTTTTTTTTTTTTTTTTAACGAGTGAAGCTAACTGGCATAGGATCAGCAATTTCTCCTCAGTATTTCAGTGTGAGTGTGTGCAGGTGTGTGCAGGTGTGTGTAGGTGTGTGACTGAGCCACGTGGTTTGAGCTGGTTAGAAATAGGCAGGATCATGTCAGCTGATCACACGTAAATCCCCACGGTAAGCCACCGGTGGATCGGGAGACATTGGCATCAAGGCGCTGACACGATGAGGGCCGGTTAAACCGTTCTGATGCCGCTGGGTGGCTCGACGCCATCGTGCGACACCTGTCAATCAACCTTGGTGCCATTATGTAAGAAACACCTGACAGAGTCCAGTCACCGAAAGAGCAAAGTGACAAAATGCATCATTTTCTTGAATAAATAAAATGCTTTTTTAAATGAAACAAAGCTTCTTTTGCCCCTTTCTAGAAAAAAAAAAGCATTACTTTCAATATGAAATACTGACATGATGTGCAACAAAACAACATTATTAGGTCATGCTATGTCCATGAGAAACTTAAACTGCACTGTACAAAAACTCCCTGCAACAAAACCATACACAGGTGCCTCATGCATGGTTTTTCCTGTTCTCCTTAGTTTCCCCTTCTGGAATGTTTATGTTGGTCGCAGCGAGCCCGTTAACAGCTGCCAGCAATCTCTGGAGCTGTTCTGTTGAAAAGAAATCCAATTACGTGCTAAGAATCCCTCAGAGCAGCCGCAGTCGTGACCATACAGGCGGTGGATCTGGAGCTTCGTGCTCTTTAGAGCTTTTAAAGCTGTCCTGCTGAGAACGTAGAAGAGAGGACGTAGGTGGAGAAGGCAGAAAGATATTTTCTCACTCCATCTGTTTTTGACACGTGTTTAGTCAGATGACCCCACAGCTCTGCTTGTGAGGGGTTCAGTGTTTGCTTTTAGTGGCAAGGGTCAAAAGGAAGCTCAGTGAGCCCTCCGTGGACCTCTACGTATTCTTCAGACCACGACATGACGTCACCGACAAAGTGACCCCCGCAGGTTGCCTGGGTGTGGATCTCGTTGGCTGTCAGGACTCTGGACCAGAACTGGAGATCCGATAACTCTCCCGTGAAAGATTGAGTGACGTCGAAGCGGCCCCCCATCGTATCCTGTGGAGAAATGGGAGGAGACTGATGAATGATCTGAAATGTTGAACCAATGTGGAAAGAAAATTGATCAAAGTATGCTTTTAAAATAAAAATCAAAACAACACATACAAGAAAAGTCATAGATACTTGAAATGTGGGAAGGATATTAAAACTGTTTTCGAAACACTTAGTTGTAACACAATGAAATACCAGTTTATTATCTTTTTAAAACAATTAAGATGAATATTTATCATTTTAGAAAATGCTTTACATTACTTTAAATTTGACTAAGACTGAAATTATCCCTACTTGATTTTTCTCCTTCTCTTCAGTAAAATCACAGTTATTCTAACATAGAAACATTTAAATGAAATATGTGTTAGATAATTTCATTATCTTATCAAATCATAGCAATCCAAGCCAGAGGTCTTTCAAAAGGGAGATCTGGTCTCCCCACGTGCATGATTCAGATCAATCCTGGTGGATACGAGTCCAGATGTTGAGGGTCGGCTCGAGGACCAAAAATGTTGGATAATTTAATTGTTCTATCATCAACTCATTAAATAAACAAGCCACGCAAGGAAATTAAAAGATCTTTTCAACCCAGGTTTAATTTTGCAAGGGGTGCAGCTTTGAAAAACAAGCATACAAGATGTTACATGTCGCTCCGTCTCCAAGGTCTGCCCACAGAGAAAGAGTTAGCAAAAGCTTAAATACCCGTTATCAGATAGAGGCTAGGTCAAGACAACCTCTGCTTTCCAGCTTAGGGTCCTTGAAGTTTATCAGCTGTGCAGGCTCACTTTGTTCAGACAACTCAACTTTAACTCACACATATGGTTCTATATTAAATCATTAGTAAGTGAAAACATCCATGACCTTTACATCCCCAATAAAAAGGCTTTTTAAAATAAATGGTATAGCGTTCATCTATCTTATCGAGACACTCAAAGCTCTTTACAACACAATCTGTGCCCTCATTTACCCATTCATACAGCACTCTACTAGATCTATACAAAGATGAATCAGAGCTTTATCACATTCATACACCGATGGGACGCACATCAGAGGCAGTGACGGGTTCAGTGTCTTGCCCAGGGACAGTTGGGCATGTGACTGCTGGTGGAATCGAACCCCCAACTCTTGCATTGGAGGACGACTGCTCTCACCACTCAGCCACAGCTGTCCCTGAATAAACAACAGAACAATGGAACAACCAAGAATGAGATGGCTGACCAAGCCACAGAAATGGCCCCATCTGCATTGAAAGCCAGTGACTGTGAGTTATCAGGCTCTTATGAAGTTGAATAAAAAATATTTTTGACAAAAGCCACTCTATATCCAAGTTGTGTACACATTTCCACCCAGAAGAGGAACAACTATATAGCAACCAGTGGCACCACAACTAAACAGTCCATCAAATGAATAACATTAAAGTTTCTACTTAACTTGGAAAAAGGCAAAGCAAAATAAATAAATAAAACATTACAACTTTCACTCTGAAGGATTTGCATTGGCAATCAGTTGCTGAAAGCCAGAGCTTGTGCACATTGTTGCACCCGTTGGAGCTACTTTATAACATGCTAATCCAATGTTAAATCTATGCTAACAGCCAATTCCACTCTCCACAACCAGACAAAAAACAAAGTCGTGGAAACACTGAAGAAAGCGTGTCAGTTAGCTCTAACATACACATGATCCATCGCCACAGAGTCCTACAAAATGGTACATGGCACGTTGACTCGTTTTTGTTTATTTAGTTCACAAAATCTTGACTGAATAAAACTGGTTTAAACTGCTGTGTAGATTTAGGGTATTTTTAAGCTCTGAGAGATTATGCACTCAGGATTTTGTTTGACGTGCATATAGATAATGTACATATTCATAGCTGCATGAATAAGCATTTTACAATCACATCTTAGCTCTCTAAATAGTAACGGATTGAAATTGTGAGGTGCCTAAATGTTCCCACTCCTACACACTATCCATCATTAGAGAGCATGCTGATTGACTGACCTGCTCCTGACCCAAGATAAAGATCCCTCCTGGTTGTATCGGGTGCCAGGCTGACAGATTCTGCCCGGCACCTTTCTTCACGCCATCCTGGTAGGCCTCCCAAACTCCATCCCTTGTTGACCATGTCACACACACATGATGCCACTTTCCATCCATTACATTTATTGGCAACGTCACCGCCTAACAAACAAAGAGGAAAAACAAAGAGTGAGAAATGAAGAGACAACAGCGACCACAAACAATACTTGGCGCACCTCAAGGATCTATACTTGAATTCTTTTCAAGTTAGGCTGAACTTGTTTAATGTAAAAAAATATAAAAATCTACTCAAAGTTCTGTATACATCTGAAAATGTATTAACCACCAATTGTTTGTTTATCATCAGTTTTATCACAGCTAAGGATGTGACTCAAAAACAAAGGGCATGACAATTTATCTCCCCGGTTTCTCCTACAGACAATCAAACAATTAGGTCAGCCGGTACTCGACAATAACGAGATTAATTGCTTTGCTGATTTGTACGTTGACATCACTTCACTCAGCTCTGACGTAAGGAAGGGGCAAACACAACCATCTGTCTTCCGTTCATGGGTGGTTACAGTATTAGCTTTCCCAGTTGTTATTAGCTTTTCAGAGAAAAAAAGATTAAGGAGTTAATAGTGTATCAGCAATTGATTCTTGCGTCAGTGTCGCCAAGACTCAGACATCGAGGGTCTATTTCTTGTCCAAAAACATACAAACGATTATATCAATTTTTTGAATTCCTAATGAAACACTTTTTAAGAATTACAAATTATGGAAAACCAAAAATCCTTGGTAATGTTTGTTAAATATTTTTCAGAAGTTAATTGTTAGCACCGGGTGATTTAATCTTTTGGTTTCCAAACAACACTACAATGCATTGCAGTTGCAGTTACCTTATCGTTTATAAGCAGCTCCATGGGGTTACTACCCCATTCCATAAGCACCAGCTCATTAGCTTGCCCAGGCACAGCATAGGAGATGGGTGTGCCAAGGCCAGGACCTTCCCTAGGCTTTAGCCACAGACAGATGGTAAGGGCGAAGATCTCACTGACCACTGATCGCTTCATCCTGGCGTACATGTAATTGGTTCTCATGGGAAAATCCAGCAGGAAAGCACTGGGGCGCTTAAGTTTCTTATTGTTTCCTGTTAAGACTGAGAAAACAATGTAGTTATACAATTTATCTTAAACAAACAAACAACACACTTGTCTGTTTTTGACAGCCCATTGGTTCTATCAGGCAGGTTGAAGAGATTTAGTGTAATTTTCACTTGTCTGAATCAATACATTCAACAATGTCTTTAGTTAACATGATCAGTTTTGCTGTGTCTTATATTCAGTTCATTTGCAAATAAGATGCTGTTTTTGTATTTGAAATTGCACACAGTTAGAAAGAAAGGACAGACCTGCCATAAAAACAACACACTCTCACCACAGTCATGCAGATGTATTTTCATTCATGTCTTTACAGTCATTAGCTTATTAGCAAAAGGTACTAATGAAGTGTGTCTACTACATAAATCCCTTTCAGAAATAAAGTGCTTTAACACACATGTTTTTTTAGTAATTTGCATGAATGTAACTTTGTTTCTAAATTATTTTTAGTGTTACCATGATATTAGGTCAGAGTTTAAATAAATAAATGCTGATACATATAACAACTCTAATTCTAATAGGACCAAGCAACAATACACCCTTGTATGTGTGTATAATGTGTTTGTGTGTATACCTTGTTCATTGCTGTGGTGTAGTTGGCTGAGAACTGTTTCCAGTTTGCTGTGATTGGTTCCCTGTAAACTTGTCTCCTTGTCTCCAGTGAAAGGAAGATGTTGTGGATGATCATCGTCAGAATGGTGATCATTTACATGGGGGTTGTTTCCATGGTCATCCCCATGGTGGTCATTTCCATAGTGGCTAGGTCCATGATGGTCTCCATGATGGCTATCATGGTGTTTGGCATAGTGCCCATGGTGATAATTATTGTGAGCATCATGGTGACTGCTACCATGGTGGTTATTGTGATGGTCCGTGTGATGGCCATTATGGTGACTGTTATGATGGTTGTCATAGTGACCATAATGCTGGCCACGGTGCCAGTCATAGTTGTGGTCATGATGGTGATTGCCATAATGACTGCTGTGATGGCTGTATGGGTGGCTACCATGGTGTTTACCATGATGGCTGTTGTGGTGGTCTTCATGGTGACCTGCGCCATGGTGCTCAAAATGGTGGCCATGAGGATGGTCGGTGTTATAGTGGTCATCATGATGGCCATGAGGATGGCCAGTACCATGGTGGCCATCATGGTGATTATACATATGTCCATTGTGGAGGCTGCTGTTGTGGTTGCTGTCATGATAATCAACGTGGGGCTTTCCATGGTGGTCGTTATGATGACCAGACTCATGTTGGTCTCTGTAGTAACTCTGTAGCTGCTCTTCTAAAGAACTGATCTTCCTCTGAAGGAGTTCTCTCAGGGAGCTTGAGTAGGAACTGGAGGAGTTCCTGGCCTATAGACACATAAGAGTTATTAGAAACACTTCCTAGAACCCGCACAGCTTGGAAACATCCTTTCTACTTCTGTCCAAAAGAAATAAGTAAACACATACATCATAAAATTATAAAACTACTGTCTTTCACTTTTTTTCTTTCTTGTATACCACATTTGGCCTTCAATCATCCTCACTGTCATTAATATTATTGTCAACAATAATTCAATTCAAAGATTCCCAAGTGAAGACAAATAAGGAGCAAGAATGTACTTGCTGCAAATTCAATAAGGAAGAACTGGGGAATAACATTCAAAAGAACAGGGAAAAATGAACTCTAGTTTTTAGTTTATTTTTCTTCCTCTCCACTGTTCTTGTTCTCATCTTCCTCACCAGCAAATCCGGCTTTGTTCCCTGCCAGCACACACCATGAATAATAGCTTAGTCAGAGTGGATAACCCTAATTGAAGGTGAGGCTGGCTAGCACCCTTGAAGGTATGGCCAGAGGACAGTAGTGTAGACATCTTTTTAAAGAAGGGAGTGACAGAAAGTAAATCCTGGCACTGCTTGTGTTTTGTCTGGCACCTTGCAGTGACATCGAAGAAGATTTCTCACAGCAAATTCCCCAAGACCACCTGCATTAATAAGACTCCCAGACAAGTGGTGTTTGGCAAGGTGACAGTAGGGGTCATAAAATGTGCAACACTACAAGCACAATTATGTCCTTGCATATGACTGAGAAAAGTTAATTAAAAAAAATCTTTATGATGCAGTGTCCTTAATACTGACATTTCTCCCTTTTTTGATAACACTTTACAATAAGGTACACAAAATTTGATAAACTACTAGGGAACACCTCAGGAACAAATCAGGAGCTCGAGGTTAGTTAACAAGTATTTACTGGGGAACACACAGCCAAGCCTTATTAGGGGACTACTGGTTTGTTACCACAGGAACAAACCAGTAGGTAATGGTCAGGTAGTGATTAAGTAATGATTGGTTCCTTGGTAAGTATGTGGTATGATGCTTCTGCATCAGTGAACAAAATAATAGCCAGACAATGATTTGGTACTCAGTAAGTGATAATCAGACATAGTAAAGATGACAGCAGTTCAAGATTATGAAACTGATGTCTATCATCAATAGGTTTACAAAAGAGAAAATCCAATAAAATCAGTTACCACTAGAAAACAGGTTTTTGACAATTATTAGCTGTGACCTCACTGGTGCAGGGTTTATTCAGAACCCACATGGGACTAGTAGTCCCCTGCTTGGCTATGTGTTCACCAGGAAGTACTGGTTAACTACCCATTAGCTCCAGATTTGTTCCTCTTTGGTTTTCTTGGTAACTACCCATTAGTTCTTGATGAGTTCCTCTTCGTTTACAAGGTAACTAATCAGCAGTCCCCTAATAAGGCTTGGCTGTGTGTTCCCCAGTAAGTACTGGTTAACTACCCATTAACTCCTGATTCCTTCCTGAGGAGTTCCCCACTAGTTAATCAAATTTTGTGTAACTTATTGTAAAGTGTTACCCCTTTTTTTAAACAACAAACAACTCCAAAATCACACATCTTTTTAGTTAAACAAGACAAACTTGCTTTACAAGAGATGCCATTTACCAGTCATTACCACTTTATTTAAATTTACAATTTGAAACAAAAGGACATTTGCAGACAACTCATTTGTGCATTTCTAAGAAAAAGAAATGGGTCCAAAGTTAATCAATTTAAAACCCTCTACACCCTTTCATAAAATTTCATTTGTGGAAAATGATATGCCATTCTGAGCAAGACACCTATCCCTAATTGCTCTCCCGGGCGCTTACATAGCTGCCCACTGCCCAACCTGGTTGTATCCAAGGTGTGATGGGGTAAATGCAGAGAACCAATTTCACCATTGTATGGGAACATACAAGGATGACAACACATAGCACTTTTTTAAGTTTAAACAATGAAAAATCCTAGTTGAAAAACAGCTTTTGAATGTTTTTTTTTTCTAAAGTAAATATTTAGTTAGGTTTATGCACAGAAGTGCAAGAATGACACATGGAACAGACAAGGATTGCAAACGATCAACACGTTCATCAAATATCTCAAATAACTTTGTTTTTAAAATTCCAAAATACTAGTTAGGGATCTGAATTGCGCAAATGGTAAATTAATTATCACTGACAGACATAAAAACAAATAAACAAACAAATAAAACCACTGTCTGTTTTGTGACCTTCCTCCCCCCCCCCCCCCCCCCCCCACACACACACACACTTTTTCCTTTTTGGGTCGTGGGGTCACTGGTGCCCATGTCTAGCTATCACTGTGCTAGGAGGTGGGGGACACCCTGGACAGGTCTCCAGGACATCACAGGGGCATATATAGACAAACAAGGCAAACAACCATTCACTCTGTCACACACCTAGGGACAATTTAAAGTTATCATTCAAGATAACATGCATGTTTTTGTCGTGGGAGGAAATCCGAGTACCCGGAGAAAACCCATGCATGCATGGAGAGAACATGCAAACTCCACCCAGAAGAGTCCCGGGCCGGGATTTGATCCGGGGGCTTTCATGCTGAGATGCAACAGCTCTACCAACTCCCATTAAAATCTGGCTGTGAAAACAAACAGTAACTAAACAACAACTTGTGTACAGTTTGCTTTTAGCTCTAGCCTGACTGTGGTACTCTGTGGTATTGTATTGCAAAGCACCTTAGAGGTAATTGTTTTCAACTCACCTGCAAGTTTTCCAGCCTTTCTTTCAATGTCTGCAGTGTCTTTCCAGTCTGTTCAGCAGAAATAGAGCTGAGCTTGCTGTATGACCCTTTTGGTTGTTCCAGTTCTGTCCCATGACTGCTGTGGGAGTGGTGGAGGTCACTGCCATGATGTGCTGAGGTCCCATGGTGCAACAGTGATGAACCATGATGGTTGTCGTGAAGGCTGCCATGATGGCTGCCATGATGGATGTCGTGATGAAAGCCATGAGGGCTGTTGTGATGGCTGCTATGATGGCTGCCATGATGGCTGCCATGATGGTTGCCATGATAGCTGTCATGATGGCTACCATGGTTGCTACCATGATGGCCATGGTGATCATCATGGTGACTGTAATGGCTGTCAGGATGGTTGCTGTGGTGGGTGCCATGATGACTGTATTTGTCATGGTGACTAATGCTATGGTGACCCCCATAGCCTTCACACAACGTGAGCTTGGCTGTAAGCTCCCTGATGGTCTCCCTTTGATCCAGGATGGTTTCCTTCTGCCTCACAAGGCTCTCCCGCAGGTGCAGAATAGTAGTTTGAGCCTCATCAGACATTAAGGTCCGATGGTTGCCACCACCGTTATCGTTAATCTGGCTGTTACTGCTTGGTCCATGGGCCACAGTGGGTGGTGGGTAGCAGCTGGGGTCTGCTTCTGGAGGAATGGGAGTACAAACAAATTTGGGACCAACCCCATAGTCACGTTCCTTGCCTGACACCCCTGCTGCTGCAGCACATGACAGAAAGTAATAGCAAATTAAATAGTGCAGACAAAAAATGGGAAGGGAAAACCCAAAAGAATGTCCAATCCGCAGATGGTGCCTAGCAGGACAAGGCATGAGGCTCAAAGGATCATTGTCTCTGGCCATAATTGGTTGGAATCAAAGAAATTTCTGGAGAAATGATTGTGTTCTGGGGTATTAGTTTTGCTGTTGAGAAAACCATGAATAAAGGGCATTTGTTTTGAGTGAACAAGAACACTGTAGATGAAAATTCCTCAGAGATAATAAAAGCAGTCTTCAACAATGTATTCCAGATATCCGGGGCTGTTGTCAAACTCTGTTGCCTTCAAGACAACCTTTTGGAATCAGTCAAAACTTCTTGGCTCCATACTGATTTCACAGGCTACGAGAGCTCGGCTGACGTACTCTAATAGGCTCTTCCACCTACTCAAGGATGAGGTGTTGGTCCATTGCCAGACAAGTGATCACTCTTGGCACCAAGAACTTCCTGCACTTGACAGCAGAGGATAATCCATTTAACTTCAGCATATAAACATCCGCCAAATCCAGGTGAAATGCTTCCTATTGGAGACAGAGAAAGCATGCAAAAAACAAAATGAAAGTTCAAGAAAACAAAGGCTTTATGTTGTCTAATCAATAATTGTCTTAACCAATGAAACCATAGAAAACACTAATACAACTGTCATATTTTTTACTTGAAGACAATTGAAATGGTTTCCAGTAACTGTCAGAAGCAAAGAATGAAAATGAGACAATATAAGAATTTGATAAAGGTTACTTGAATATCATTTGAATCAATATTGAAACACAAACAAAACAAACAACACAGAAAAAAACAGAATGCTGCTCAAATGCATAAACAGCCTGTTGAATTTCAGCCATATCTCTCTGATTCATCAGCATCACTTGCTTGGTGCAAAGTGAATACAGGACAAGATTAATGACGAGCAGGTAGACAGCCCTGAGGGGGAGGCTGGTGGGGATGATCTTCAAGGCTGCAGAAGGACAAAGCTAATTATTTTGACCTTAAAATCACCCAAATAACAGAACAAAAGCTGGAGTTTCTTCAAAAGTATGGACATTCATTTTGTTGTTTTATGAATAAATATAAAAGCTCCTCCATGCTTTGATGAACATGTGAACAAAACTTAGATAAATTTGTTAAATATCAAAATCTGCCTCAAGTTTGTGCAAATCTGATTATTTTATTTGTTCTTTATCAAAGAAACAATTTTAGGATTTGAACAAACTCATCGTTAAATTTTGTGTATGTGCATATGAGTACAAGCTAATCTTATAAAATGCATGTTTTCTGGATGTATATAAGGTCAAATGCACAACGTTGCATGTCCAGCGGGGTTGTTGAGCTCACCAGAGAGCAGGATGCAAAGCCAAGAAGAAAAAGTTTCAGGTCATGTAAGCTCCTGTTCTAATCTCCTTATCTTTATAGCCTATCACCAGTTTAAACATCCAGTGAGACCATGAAGAACAAACAACTGTGTCCTTGACTGTCTTTTCTTTGACATAGTCCTGAGAAAAATAAAACAACAAAAAATTATTATTTGTGGTGCAATTTGACAGAGTATCTGATGTTCAGATAATAAAATAGATCCAATAGCAGCTAAAGTTTAGCTCAAAAGAAGCTCAAAGAAGTAGCCAGAAGACCAGAGACGTAAGCTGATAACGAGCCCTGCTGTCTGATACGTAAAGACGACATTAGGAGAGACTTAGCAGACATGATACTTTGCTGCCACACGTGCTATGACACGCAACTCTGAAAAAAAACACAAACCTTCGTTTCCACAAGAGAAATGCATCATAGTGTACCACAATTAATATCTTATCTGATCTAATTCGCACCTAAAATTGAGTTTTATGCTTCAAATGTGTTATTCAAAATCTGAAATGTAAAGATTTTCCAGAGGATAGTGTTTAAAACATTCAAACTTGGCCTTTTTATCTTCTGTTGATCTGATATCAGTTGTTTGCACACAGCTTCACTTTAAAACATAATGGAAAACGAACCTTGCAAAATGAGTCAAAATTTTTTTTTCTTATTTATTTCTTATTTTTTTCCCAAAAATAAAGAATATGAATTGTCCAATTCCACTGTTTTTCTTAAAATACAAGAAAAAAATTAAGATTAAAATATTGCTCTTATTTTAACCACTGATGTTCTTAAAAAGAATAAACACAAGGCAACACTTTTACTTATAAATAATGAATAAGGCAAAACAACAACAACAAAAGCAAACTTGTTTCTACTTTTTGTGCAATATAAGTTATGGGTAAAAACAAATATGATGATGCAATACACGCCGTTATGATCCTGTTGGTGTACCCAGTGGTGCAGGCAGGCACAGGGAACTCGCAGGGTAAAATAAAGATACTTTTTAACTAAATAAAACGTTGACAAAGCAGCGGTACTCACAGAGGGAGCGATGAGTGAGGAGATAAAGAGGAGACAGAATGAAAATCCTTGTAGGACAATATGTGGACATGGGGAGAGACAAAGACTTAAATTCAAACGCTAACGAACAGACAATGACGAACACCTGGAGAAGGGCAACAGGAGGCGGAGTCAAGAGGTGATTACATGAGGAAGACAGGACAGACGACACAGGAATCATATGCAGGGTCAGCTGAACTCATCATTAACTAGAAAATATTTATCTTACACAACTAAAAAAAGTATGTACATATATTTCGAATTTTTACAATTTCATTATTTCTTTTTTTTCAAAGTCTTAATGTAATATGAGAGGTGAGTGCTTGGAGTGGTGGGCCGGCGCTCGATCACCCTCTATTGATGACCCGCCACTGGGTAAACCCCAAAAAGGTAAAATCAACAAACAACTTTCATTCAGTTTTCAGCCGCATAATAAAAGTCCAGCTGTTTTTATCTTTAACTTTTTTGAACGTCATAACGAGTTAAACAAAAATAAAAAGGTAAAAAGATTTTTTTTTTATTTAAATAGTTGTTGTGTCCTTAAATAAAATTTTGTGAAGGGCGGGCAACAACGTGGTTGTTTACCTCCAGAAACACCCAAAGTGACTGAAAGCAGGTCAACAAAGGTGCCGTCCACACGAGAGCAGGCTGAGAAGTTTCACACTTTTGATGTCTTCGTAGGTTTTTACACTCAAATTTGTGGAGTAAAGTTAAAACTGCACTGTTTATATTATGTAAACCAGGGAAGCAGTTTTTATATTTGATGTCACCATTTCAGTTGGTACCTTTTTAATCAGCTATAAAAATGAATCTAATGTTTGTTTAAACAATGTTTAATTTAAAATCCGTTAAATTCCTGGCAAGAACCAATGCAGACATGTTCCTGGTTCTAGTTTTCTACATTCGCCTTATAATCTAGCTGTTTTTGCCACTCTTTTTGTTGTTGTTGCCATCTTATTTTAATTTGTAATAAACAAAACAAAACAAAAGTCCATGTGTTTGCATCCTTTATGACTGTCTGTTGTTGTCGTGGTTATCCACTGTTGTCATCACTCTTTGTTAAAATCAGGTCTCTCTTGTAAACGAGTCCTCGAGGCTCAATGAGCACGTGTGTAACAATGTTAAAAATACAGACGTAATAAAGTTAGCATCGATTCTACAGTTTTATTATAAACACAAGTCATTTATATGGTTTATGAAATATATTTGTGACAGAGGGGTTTTTAATTTAATTTGAAAATTCAGTACAATAAGGCTCCCCTTTACAAATGCCTAATAAATAGTGTAAGATATGTTATTAATTCCTACATAAGCACTTTATAAATCATTAGTCACTGCTTATTATACATTAATTAAGAGTGACAGAGAGAGTTTCTTTGCCATATTTGTGAGTCATATCTGTTCACCTATATATAATTCATCTACAGTTGTTATATGAAACATTTCAGACTAAGTTATTATCTTGGAAGCACAATAAGCATTGGTAAACATATTTTTTAGGATATGATATTGTACTTTATCACTGCATTATAAGTATCTACAACCAACATTATATCCTAAAAATAGGTTTACAAATGCTTATTGTGCTTACAAGGTATTAACTTAGTTTGACATGTTTAATATAACAACTCTAGATGAAATATTTAGGTGGCAGATTTGGCTCACCATTTGGCAAGAAACTGGTCAGTTTAGTCTCTGTCACCCTTAATTGATGCATAATAAACAATTATTAATGTGTTTATAGAGGAATTCATGACATATCTATAAACTATTTATTATCCATCTGTAAGGGGAGCCTTATTGTAAAGTGGTATCAAAAAGTTGTGTTCAACTTTTCAGATTAATTCCAGACCAGCACTGTACGACACCTGTGCACGCCCACACCGTGACACTCTGTCTAAGGCTTAAAGGTTCTCCGTCACCTCTTCATCCGACTGCGAGCTCTGACCTGCACGAGTCAACCCTCCCTGTCAGGTGCCGCGGCCTCGTGGCAAACACAACACGGAGGCGAGTTTCATCTCCACATCTCATCGTTTGTTCAACAGCAACGTAGCAGATTGAGCATGCTTTCAATCCCAGTAAACGGCTCGTGCACTACACTGTAGCTGGGACAAGACGTGCATGAGCATGAGAACAGAGGAATGACAAACATCTGTTAACTTTGCTTTGTCCTGCTCAGTGTTAGAAGGAAGTGGCATGTTGCAGCTGCCACATAGACTCAAATGAAGGATTAACAAAGAAACCGGTAAACTATAATCTTGGATTAAAGTCGAAACATCTGAGAAAAAGGAAATCCTCTCATATCTGACTGGGTGAACACAATTTATCTTTGTTTTATTTGCTCTTTTCAAATGAATGAAAGTAGATTTTTACAACCCAAATGCTCTGCAGGCACTTTATGGCTGCTGTTTATTGAATATTAATATTTTAAACTAATCCGGGCAGGTTGGAAAATCTGTGAAATGAAATATGAAATTAATTTTATCAGATGTTGAAAAATTACCCTTTACAATGACAACATATGTCAACATCATATTTTGAGTTAAAGTTCCCATTTGATATTTTTGCCTCACAACAAACTTAGTTTAATTTAATCTGCCACCTTTAGGCAAACGTCTCATTTCTGCAGGTGATGTGCTCGGATGAAATATAATCATCTAAATTAGAGAAGCTTGAA